CGTCTCTTTCTCGGTGACGATGATAATGTTCTTCGAATCGTTGAAGATTCGTTGCTGTTTACTATTCTGTTTGTGACTGTGTATGACCTTGCTGTTTGTGACCATTGCTGTTTACTATTCTGCTTTCCACAAACACTTAGAAAGACAGAAGATGCCAAGAGCTAAGACAGTGATACAGAAAGCACCAGCCATACACTAACAAAGAAAACATAGAGTCAGAGACAGAAAGAGCGGAGTGAGATTCTTCATTGGGGTTGCTTCCTGACGGTGTTCGCGGGTGCAAGCTGCGCTGGCTGCACCTGCTTGTCTCTGTAAAATTCGGAGGAATATGGGAAGGATGGGTCGAATGCCTGACCGGATGGTAGTAAGCTCTGATAACGGTTAAATGCATATCAGGGCGCACTGGGATTTTTGATGAATTGGGAGCGCTGTTTTTCTGATAGGAGATAATCTGACGGTTAAGTGTAGTTGTGGGCTGTTTTGCTGGCATGGCCACTGTTTTGGTCAGAGGGTTATCTGATGGTTGATAAATGGCTGCTTAAATTGTCCTGAACGTGTGAGTTTGGTTACGTAGAATATTGGGATTCTGGACGGGTCTGTGGTAGATTGGATGAATCGCTGCTTAGGATTTCTTTTTTGGAGTACCTATGATGAGAAAAGCGGTTGGGTTTTGTGTCGGGGGCACCGTCGAGCTGGGGCCTCTGTTCTTGGGCGGATTACGAGGACCGGTCCAGTGTCATTGTTTTCTCCTAGAACTTACCTTAGGTCTGGTTCGGCCCGTTGTGGAATTGGGCTCGTGCCCCGGGTCCGCTTCTAGGCCCTTCCCTTTTTGGTCGCTACTGTTGGTTTGCGGTCTGTCCTAGTGCCCGTCAATTTCCGCTGCTTGCTATGTAGTGGTTCGTTGACGTGTCAGTTTCAATGTGACACAAACCCTTGACGAGCTCCAATACGGCGATCGGACGAAACTAGTCGGGTCATCCGCCGATCAGCTTGGCGACTTTTCGCTCTATGGGCATGCTGCCCGTTTTCGATCCAGGCTCCATAGCCATGTGTTTAAATCTTATTTTTGTGGCTATATGTCACGTTCGGGATACTGGCGCGTCGTTGTGTTTCTTCTCCATCTCTTGTCTTGTTTGTCGTCAGTCTCGTGGATTTTGATGTATGGTGCCTGCCGTCAGTTTCATGGGGTCTGCATGTGTCATTGGCCGTTGATTGTGTTATGATGTAGGTCCTTGTGGGCCGATGGTTGTCTATGCTTATCTATGGGCGATATTCGATCGTGATTAACTCCCACCCCCCCCATAAGAGTGCAGTAGGCACTCCAAATGAGGAACCACCGACTGTTTGGCACTACTTAAGGGTGCTCAGTCAGGCACACAATAAAACTTGGAAACAATCAGAGGGAGGACAAACAACAGAAGTAAGACTGACAGACATAAAACTCATTGTGTGTGTGTGTGTGTGTGTGTGTGTGTGTGTGTGTGTGTGTGTGTGTGAGTGCAGGGAATAACTTTGTAATTGTCGTTTGCGATTTGTAATGTGCGCCATGCCAGGATCCTCTTCGCTTGGTTAGATGGCGTGTCAGATTGCACTCGGTGGCGTTCCGGGCATGGTTGCATGCTTGAGAAGCTGGCGTGGTCGATGGCTGGCTATATTATGTATGCTGCGTGCATTTTATGAACACGAGGGTATGGAGCAGAACAAGCTATACCAGCTAGCTGGGAGGACCGCAGCCGATCCGCAAGGAAGGAGTACCACCAGGCCGCGGCAGGTTCCAAAAGATGCAGAATGGTTGTCCCGCAAGACTCGCCCATGGGAGAACTGCCAATGGAGGAAAACACTCACTCGTGCGTAATCCCACTTGCTGAAGAAGTGCCGCTGGGCGGCTTGCTAGCAATTGCTTTCACAGATGGGGGTATGTCATGGGCCTCCTAACGCTCAGTGCTGTGCCACATACAACACTAAGATGGCGGCGGTTACAAGAGCGGGGTGGTTGTCGATGGTAACAAGAGGGGAGGAATTGGCTTTCCATCCACTGCTGGCAGGCTGCCATGTGTCCGCCTCTCTCCGCCCCACAGATCTGGATCAGAGTCGCAAAAGCCAGGAGTTGCGCAGAGCTTTCGTCGGGGCTGATGGTGGTTCGATGGAAAGGTCTGCCATCCAAGTCCCTTTCTCTCTGACATGCTGTGGCCGGCATTCCATTGCTGCTGTTATCGGTAGGGGGAATGAGCGCGTACATCATGTCGTCTATCGTCATGCAGGTGCTGTGCCTGGTTGTGCCGTATTTCGTTCGCACGAGAAAAGGAGCGGCTGGACGGACAGGACACTATCAAATGGTGCACGGAGGTGATAGCGATTGGGATGGCAGTGGTCCAGAGTCCGGTTATCACGGGGATGCCCATCCAGTTCTCGCTGTATGCGGAGTCGCGGCGGTTTGTGTATTTTTTTGGTGAAGTGCTCGTACCCTCGGGGCGTGGCTTCTGCATAAGATCAGCGATCAGGTCACCTTGGCTGGTTTCTGTTCGGGCTCATCGGTCATCATTTCCATCAGCATTTTGAGGGGTTACGCTGATTCGCCGAGCATCTTGGTGAGGAACATGCGGCAGAACGGAGGTTTCACGTAGGGGTCGTCTTTTCTCCTCTTTCTCATCTTCTTCTTGTTGATGACAGCGGGGCCAGTTTTTGTAATCGAGGGACGGAGGAAGGTTCCCGTGGTGTGTTTCAAGGCGAGGGTAAGAGTAGGGCACGCTTCCCCTCCTCCTCTCTACAATGAGTTGTCGGGGACTCCGACTCAGATGCCTACATCCATTTCAATATCGACCCTGGCGGAATGCAGCCCGTGCTTCTTGCCACCTACCTTCTTAGTGTCCCGGGCTTCTTGCAAGTGCCACTCAGAACCCCTCCGCCCACCATCCTCGTTCGCGATGCTCTCAACCCGGTTAACCCGGTCAACCCGGTCAACCCGGTCGACCCGGTCAACCCGGTCAAAGGTGGTCCTTGGCTGTATTATTCCTGCAGTTTCCTCCTCATGTTTGTGATGAATCAGCTGGATATCATGGATCTGCCGAAGGAAATGGCGGAGTTACCGCAACTTACCTGAGTACCTTGCGGAGATCGGTGCAAGGGTTCCCGGTGTCCGACCAGGAGTTGCCTCAATTAAGCATTTGGGGTTTGTTCATGCCAGTGCTCCCTTTCAGGCGCTCCTCGCTCTTCTGACGACTGTCTTCGGCCTCGTCGATCAGCGCTACCGGGCCATGTACCTGGGACTCACCATCGGGCTTACGACTTTACGTCTATGCTCAGTATTGTGGGCTCGATTATCTGGATGAAGCGTGCTATCGTCGCTTAATCAGCAGATGCCAAGGCTGCAGAAAGTTCTGCGCGAGTATAGAGTCTGACGTGTTTGTTGTTTTGCAGAATATGTGCAAGCGCCATGTTCTCTGCCGCAATTCTTTTGACAGCAATGACCTGAATTAGGTCATTCTCACCTCAGCACTTTCCCATATGCGTTTGGCCACTATTTACCACCACATTCAGCCCAAAAAAGTCCATGTCTCTACTACTAATAAGCCCGCCCGCCCTCACTGCGCAACCCCAGTCACCTTCCCTCTTTCTCTTTCCTTGCTCCGCAGTTCGGTAGCCTTCAACCTCCACTCATCAGTCATCTTGTGCACACACAGGCCTGCCACATTGTAAAAATCATCGCCACATTGTGGACAATAGAGTCAATACTACTATTCTCAGCTCGTGTGTACGGGGAGCTACGTCGTTCCCTATCGTTGCGAGCATGTCAGGAAAGTAGCTGCAACTTTAACGACGGTAGTATTGTTCCGGATATGCTTCAACCTTGTCAGTCATCCAGTGAGCACACCTGCTGGGTGATAAGCTGGGGGGGGGGAGGAAGGGGGAAGAGGAGGAAGGGGGAAGAGGAGGAAGAACCAAGATAGCGTAGGATAGGAAATGTGAGCCGTCTGGCCAAACCAACTTGAATATTCTGTCAAGGGACATGATCCAACTTGCTTTGTAATGTCTTTCCGCTGAAGACCACACCGAGCAGTGGAGGGGACAAAGATTTATCCCAAGAAAGAATATCACCAGTTAATTGATTTGTAAATGCATGTGCTTGAGCTCTACGTAGATCCGGCTGATGAAGTTCATCGGTGAAGTGTGCCTTCTTGTCCCAAATGGATCATGAAATTGGCAATCGCTGGCCCATAGTGATGCCGAGCGATTGATGGTCCAGAGAGCGGTCTACTACATAGAGGTATTAAGTGTTAGAGCCCACAAACAACAGATATTGGGCCTCGCCACACCACTCCTGATTCCCCCAAAAGAATTGTGGAGCACTCTCAGACCTCGAATAGTGGGAAAGCCCGATAGAGAGTGCCCTTCGCCATACTCCACTCTCAAAATCCAAGGTAGGTGCAGGGGGAGGGCACTTTCAAGTTTCAAATGAAAAATGACACCGATCCTGTAGCTTGTCCGATGTGAATTACAGTTTTAGACTTCGGGATCGTTCGTGGAACAGTTTGGGCCCACTGGTCCGGGTCTCTGGAGGAGAACCGGGTTTCAGGAACGCTCTCGAAATCCAAACCCCGAGAGCGCTCGCGAAATCCAAACTTCTGCTGACATACAGATTACTTTCGCGAGTGGATGTGGCGATGCGGCCATTTTCGGGAGTGGTGTGGTGTGGCGAGAGGCGTATTGTTTTATATCTGATACTAAGAGGGTGTCAGAGGCATGTGAAAGCAACCCACTTCCCACGAGGACGGCCTCCCATTGACGATCTGACGATCGATCTCTCAAAACCAAAGCAATCAAATATACTCGGAAAAAAGCAAAGGCCGTACGCTCGCTAGCTAGAGAAAGATTAATCACTACAATGATACTTTTTTCTACTTTTTTCAAGCATTGCTTTAGTTTCTGCCGGCATGGTTATATGTGCAAGAAATTCAGTTCATGCCCTTCATTTCTCATTTTAGTATTTTGTAATACTTCAGATTAGGCCTTGGATTTTTTTGCTAGACTGACTGACTTCCTATAGAATAAGCAACAAGGCCTGCTATTATTGTGCTTGCAAAGGTTTAAACTTTAATATGAGGGGCCATGCTATGAAGGACCTCCTGGAAGTGAAAGGCGAGGGAGGCGGGGATAGAACTGCCATTTCGTCGAAACGGATATTTTTTTGTTGTTTGAGCGAACATGGACTTCAATAATGGAAAGCCCAAAAATTTGTCAAAAATTCTCTTCTGAGGGTCTTGCAGACCCTCCCTCAAACGTTGGACGAATCTGGACAGAATTCAGTCCAAAGGCTGCCGAACCCTCAGAAGAGAAATTTGTAATTTTTTGGGGGGCTCTTAGACAAAGCCCCATTCCGGTCAGCGGAAAAAGAAAAAAAAAGAATCTCTGTTTTGAGAACTGTTGACGGAATGGTAGTTATAGGGAAAGTTTATTTCACCGAGTGACCGCAAGGGTAAGGCAGGGTGTCAGTGTGCCTATAGTATAGTGGCCCTATAGCCCTACCTCCTCCTCCCGAATACAATGTACGGTCATTATAGCTGTATCTAGACTGAAAGATGCCTCAAATACTTACAGCTATAATGACCGTATGTTGTATTTGGGGAAGAAGGCAGTGTTGATTAAAAGGTGCATGGCCATCGAGGATGCTGGCCACAGACTCTGTCTCCACAAGTGGTTAACGGGGACCCCCGCTTTTCGGCCCTGGGTAACGATGAATGATCCTGAAATTAGGGTTTCGGGGTCAAATTTTGTGTTTTTTTGGATTTTTTTTTTTTGCTTGTTTTTGTTTTAGATTGGTGTGAAGTTTGCTTGGGATGGCCTTATGGTTTTCTTATAAATTGAGGTGAAAAATGGGGGGTCGGTTAACCTTTTCTCAGACTCTGATGTATGGCTATATATACCGGACTGTCAAGATGTTGTGGTAGCCTGTATGTGTACCAGTGTTTGCAGCAGATTGCAAGGTTGCCCTTTTATCGACTAGTACTATGCCAAAATGCCCCCAAAGAGCCTTTTTTTTTTTTTTTCCCTTTGGCCAAAGACAGGTGTTGGTAGTTTGCGACGCAGCCTGAACCGGTGTCTGGTAAACAAAAAAAATTATGCTGTCGTCTTGAAAGAATTGCATTCGAATGACAACATCGCTGATACTTCTGGGTTTTTTCTTCTGACTTGTTCTTAGACATGGGGATCATGGTGTGTGGTGGTCCTGTCTTTGGGCTTGACCGATGATGTCTTGCCCTTAAACAGGACCACAAAACTTTTGTGAGGGATGCCAGGCCCAATTCCTGGCGTTGTAATATAAGGGGCACCGGGCCCGGTTCCCAGTTAATTATTAAAAAATAAAATAAAAAATTGCATTCTGCCATTTGCACAATTGGGGGGGGGGGGGGGGGGGGGGGACAACTGGGAGAGACTGTCCGCCATGATGTGTGTTTTCTAGCATATTCCGTGGCGCATCCGCCGTGCACCCCATTCCATATGGTCTACCAGGCCCGGTCATAACCAAACTGACGCTGTATGCGGCCATGCTTCTCATGAAGTTACCTCGTGCATTCGCCGCTTGCCTCGAGTCCAAAGTCCCACATAGGATGGTGTAAGTCCCACATAGACGAGGCATTCCAAAGTACCAAACAATAGGATGTAGGGCATGGGGGGGGAGGCGGGATGGCAGACAACACGCAAGCTCACCGAGCAGGCAAGCGAAAAGCAAGCCCCAAAAAGTTGCAAAGACCAGGCAGACAAAAAGCGTCAAGGCAAAAGCAGTGAGGCAAGCAATAGGCTGGAGGGCACAGGGGAGGCGGGGAAGGTGGGAGGGCAGATGAAGCTCAAGCACGCCAAGCAGGGAAACGAGAACAAAAATGCAAAGCCTGGAAAATAATAAAAACTGAAGATGAGAGATTGTTTCGTCGGAGTTGCAACTGACTCATCAGGAGGCTGAACCCTCAACAATCTGCAGAATCCCCGTATTTGATGGTTTGGGTCACAAACCCTTATGACCCATGTTGAAGGCAGACTGCCGGGTCACTGGCCCCAAGTGGAGCACAGAAGCGGGCAGCAGCTCCGAGTCAGCGAAGCACCAGGCATAGCTGCCGAGGCAGTATCGCTGCACGAGCCGAAAACGACTGCAAGGAACAACAGGGCTAGCAGACGTGAAGCAGGGCGCGGAAGGCATGACATTCAGATGCATTGGGCGGTAAGGCAACAAAGCAGCGAGGCACAAGCACCAACAGCGACACCACACAGTGAACACTGGAGTTTGCAAAGAACGACATGCAAAGCAAGCGGGACAGGCAGCAAGGCAGCAGCGAAGCGCAGACGAGGCAGTCTACACATCCAACACGGAGCGAAGTGGCACACATCACCTACTCACATCACGAGTGAACCCTGCACACTGTTGGTTCTCACCACCCACTGAGGCAGGGAATCACTCAGATGAACATCCATCGTCACCCGCAGGAGACACGGTCATCCCGAACTGAGTGCCCGCCCTAAGAGTGCTGCAGGCACTCCAAATGCGGAATGACCGACTATTCGGTACTGCTTAAAGGCGCTTAGCTAGGGACACAAGAAGTAAGAAAACATAAATAAACTTGATTTTGTGTGTGTGTGTGTGTGTGTGTGTGTGTGTGTGTGTGTGTGTGTGTGTGTGTGTGTGTGTG